GAAGTTACGATAAGAAGTAGACCGATATTGCCCATCTTCGAACGTGATCTAAGTTCGACAATAATATTACGATGTACCACTTTTGGACCAAATCGGATTCTACCTTGGAGAGTTATCGTGCGCACTAGCCAGCCAGACAGTCGGACGGACGGACATCGCTAGATCGAATCCAAAAGTCCTGAAACGGATTTGGTCCAAAGAGACCTAGGGCCAAAAACAATAATTTCGATGAGTTACGTTTTGGCCATTTTAAATGATATATACTCTCTCTAGCCAAATGGCTAACAGTCAATCCTATTAGAGCAAGACTATATATTTTAGGCACCTCAAAAAGGGTGAAAAATCTTTAAAAGAAATTTTAAATTTCTATTTAAATGTGAAATGGAACAAAAGTGCATCATTTAAGGTTAAATAACATAGTCTATGATGAACCTGAATCAACAGAACCTGTCAAGGCTTATTGCGTTGCGAACTACCGAAGTGGCACAACAAAAGAAGTGGACGAAAAAAATTAAAACTGTGAGCCACATTAGAATATGTTATAAAGATTAAAGAGAGCTGCAATGAAATTACATTACGCAATTATCTCCCCAAAAATTAGATGTTCCGCTCAGAGCCGTAACTCTATGCAAAATATCGTGAGGTTCGAACCCAAAATTGCGAAGTTTGGCGTTATTAAAAATTAAAAAGAACAGACGACATCAACCATAGGCCACTTAAAAAATTCAATACTTTTTAAATATGAATTAATAAAAAAAATATTACGTTCGGCCGAACCAAACTTTCAATACGCCTTTAAATAAAATTATCTGGATTCAAACGTGTGCCACTAAAATGGGTTATATGGTGGCTATACCAATTAGTGAACCTTACAGAAAACCTTTCAAGAATATATCGAAGTGTTGGAAACGGAATGACATTGTATAGTGGAGGGTATAAAAAGATCGGACCAACCCACAATATCGTTCCGGTGACAAATATATCGTTCATGCATATGTATCCACTTCTACCACGCCAGGTTAGCTATACTGAGGACTTAAAACGAAATTTAAGTACCCCACAAAATCTACAGACACATTACTACAATTAAAAAATTGCTACTGTCTGCTACTACATCTTACCCAAAATGTCCACAATTGAAAAAAATAATTAAATACTTCTTTTGTTTTCCTTTCAGTTTGTCACAATTTAGTTTGTTTTTTGTTTTATTTGCATGTATCTCTTTTCTACGACGAAAAAATGAGAATTAAAATAACAATACACAGTGGCATTTGAATTTGAGCAAAATTGTATGTAATTGTTTAAGTAGACAATTTAAATGAAGTTATTTTCAACAGAAGCTAAAACACGCACACCCACACACACACATACCTCAAACTACTCATAAACACTGGCACAGCAGAGCATTAAAGCACTAGCTTTGAATGTTTACCCACAACTACGCTTGCAAATGGACAGCAATGAACATTCCTCTACTACAATTGTTATAATTGAGAATAAAAAGAAGCACCACATCTACATGTGCCAACGTGTGTGTGTGTGTGTTCTTATTTTGCATGTCGATGTGTGCACAGCAGTCGCACGACTGTCTGTTGCGTGTAAGCCCCCAGTGTGCAGATGCTTGCAATACAAATTCAAACACTTGCAACAATGGACAAGGAAATGTGGATTCCCACATGAGCCTGGCAAGCAACAGCAGACTCTTAGACATGAATGTGTTGGCATTGTGGCAAAAGAATAATGACCGAATAATGAAGTCGTCATCGGTTTTCATATTCTTTCGTTCATTCACTCATTCATCCATTCATTCATCATCTGGTCGCCATCGATGTGAATAAATGTTTATTTATAATTATTCGCAACATGTATTGATTTACTTCGTTGTTGCGTTTTGGAAAGCTCGTTGAGTGCCAGAAATATCAACTTAAATAAATATTTGTTTAAAACTCAGTGTTATATTTAAATAAAACTGGCTGATAGTTGTTTGGCTGCTACTCTCTCTCTGCCCCGAAAGCAAAAACTCATGGCTATGGCACGCCTGCAGCAACATTATTTCCCCGTTTCTCCGTCCATTGCACGTTGCAGTTTTAATAGTAAATTATAGCGCTTTAATGGAGTTTTCAAAAACCACAAAATATTAATATTAAATATTTGAAATGAACATAAATAATTTATTAGTTATTCGCTGTTGCATTCGCTGGAAGGGTAAAGTTTTTGAGGAGTAAAAAATCATATGTGTTGGACTTAATGTTTTTGGTGCAACTTTTAATGGGGGAACTTAAATTTTGCATAAAATAAATGAAACATAGAAAAAATGCATTATGAGAGAAAAAAGTCATAGTCAGAAAATATTACCAGAAAAACAAAATATTAAACCAGAAAAGTGACAACAATTCAAAAAAAAAAAAAAACATATATATATTTCTCGGTTGAAATATGTTAAAACTTCATGCTCTTCTTTCACGATTGTATTCAGAAAGTAGCACTGAATATGTTTCTTAAGAAATAAATATCCTGTTCAATGTGATGCTTATTATTCAGAGACAGCTGCCACGGTAACACCACTTAGTAGATATGCCTTCATCCTAACATACATTGAAAATTATTTACAAATCGAGCTTTTATGGAAATTTTCGGATGAAAAGTATATCCAACAACAAAAATAATAAATTGGGAGAAGATCGAGAGTTAAAGAGAATATTGGCATTAAATTGAGAGAGTTAAAGACAAAGTGATTAAGTTAAGAGATATTTATATTGAAAGAGAAATAAGTTTAAATATTTAAGATTACAATAAGGTTAAGAGATATATAGCATTTTCAGATTAAATGAAACCTTTTGGAATTTAAATTAAACCTTTTGCAATTTAAATGAAACTTTTTGCAGCAGAAATGAAACCTTTTGCAGTGGAAATGAAACCTTTTACAATCGAAATGAAACTATTTGCAACCGAAATGAAACTTTTTGCAAATCAAATGAAACTTTTAAATTTATGGAAGGTGTTAAATCACTCAAATGATTTTTTAATATTATTTAAATTTGATTTGTTGCTCAAAGAGCATTTTTGAAAACATAACATTATTTAAATTAATTATTTTCAGTACTTAATATTTTAACGCTACAAGAGCCACCTTAATGTCATTTTTTCTGTTTTCCCTTTTTTTATTATTTACTTTGAATTCGCCCTAAAGAGAATACATCATAACTAGCATTGTTATTGTAAATATGGATGAGCAGTCAGACGATCAAGTGATAGGCAGAGAACGCACATACGTACAAACATACATACATACGTTGAGTGCATCATCTCTGTTTATGTTATTGCTCTGCCTCTGCTGATCGCTCTGCTGCTATTCAATGCAAAAAATATTGTCCCGCTATTCCTTTGGTTGTTAAACCAGAATAGAAAAGAAATAAAACATTCTTATTTGAAACAACTAAAGAGTGAAGAAGTGTTTTAATTTGGTGACGGGCTAGAGGCAAACAAAAAAGTAGATATTACCCAACACAGTGGTTGAGTAAAAATTGCAAATTAATTTTGGAGAAAATTAAGTGGAACAAAAGGAAGGCGAGAATTTTTGGCGTGTCTCAACAGAGAAACAACATATTTGGACAAATTGCTCTTCCAGGAGAAAGAACTACGCTTGCTCAGGGAATTCTACTTGCTGTTGGACAACCGTGGTCAGATTAAAGGTGGAGAGGTGTATTAAAACACTTTTGTCGTAAGTGGCCCTATAGACAACACAATTGCCCAGAGTAAGTCAATTTACATACTCAAGTAGAACCCTTGAGTTAGGAGTGTGTTTAATTACATATGAAACATATTCCGGGGTTGTCAAAATAGGCAATCCTCAAACATTGGCGACCGTGACAGGACACTTGTGTCTTTTTTAACCTGCAATTTTTGCTCCATATTACCCAAGTGCATTTGGATTTTGTTTGCCCGCCTTTTTACTGTCAGCCATTACTCCGTCATTTTGCGAAAGAATCGAAGCCATTTTTATAAGCGATAAGGAATATTGCTGAATTGAAAATTTAGAGTGAGACAGCATTCTCGCCTACTTTTCATCTAATTTTTTGGTGCCATTTTTAAAACTATCGTTGCTCAAGTGGCTGAAGCTGAAAATTAGACTGAGACGGCATTCTCATAAACCGGCTTCTTTTTCTTGCGCAACATAATCCTATCATCGGTAAACAACGGAAAACATTTTTACACAAATTTATAATAAATTATAATTCCAAATGACTGATGAACAAGTCCAAGGTTCCCAAAGGGACACAACCATTGAGGAATTGAAACAACAACGTGGCTCGTCAAAGGGGAGTATGACCCGAATTAAAAATATAATTGAATTCAACACTTCATTGTCTCATACAGAACTTGAGTGTCGGTTGGGAATTGTAGAATCCCACTACAAGCAAGCTTCTTACTACCAAAGTCAGATAGAAAGATTGTCTCCCAGAGATAATGGAAGAGCCGAAATTGAGGAACTATATGTTTCAATTAAAACAAAAATTCTTACTCAAATTGGGCAAGATAGACGTCCTAGTGTAACTGATCAATCTTTTGTGTTGCCTCATGTCCCATCTAATAGATTACCCAGCTTAAAATTACCGAAGTTTGACGGGAAATATCTGGAATATAAGAACTTTATAAATACGTTTAACAATTTGGTCCACAATGACCCAAATATTTCTACTTCGGAAAAATTCAACCACTTACTCTCGTGTCTTAGTGGGGAAGCGCTTGCAACCATAAAGGCATTCCAAGTCACTGATGAAAATTACTCTAGTGCCCTTAAAAGATTGAAGGAACGGTACGATAATGACACACTAATCTTTCTTGAAAATGTGACATCAATGTTTGAACTTCCGAAGTCCAATAAACCTGTTCCAAAGCAATTGAGAAATATTGTGGATACAATTTCTGCTCTCTATAGCTCTTTGAAATCCCTTGGCTCCTTTGAACAAATTTGTGATGCCTTCATAATTCATCTCGCAATGAGCAAGGTTGATTCTGAAACCAAACAACGATGGGATGAATACATCGATTACTCTAAATTACCCTCTTGGACTGAATGTTGCTCCATGTTGGACAAGCGTTGTCAGCAATTGGACGCACAGTGCCGACGGTCTTCAAAACAGCATAACCCTACCATAACAACAAATTACTTACATAGTAATAATCAAAAACAACATTCATTCGTAACAAAAAATGTGGCTCAAGATTTTGTGTGCAGTCATTGCTCCAAATCGGGTCATATGATATCAACTTGTCAGCGGTTCATCGTTCTTACTCCTAATCAACGAATTGAACAAGCTAAGCAACAAAAACTTTGCCTCAACTGTTTATCAAAAGGGCATGGTTACATACACTGCCCCTCAAAATATTCATGTAGATTTTGTAAGCAACGTCATCACTCGCTTCTTCATAAGCAATCAGAACCAACCTGTCTCCGGGAAGAAGAAGAACCGTCATCATCATCTGCTGCCACCCATAGCACCTTTCAAATCAAACCCAGTCCCCAAGTGAGTACTGTTATTCTTGCTACTGCATTAGTATTGGTTCGTGACTCAGAGAGAAAATATCAACTGGGCCGTGCTCTGCTTGACTCTTGCTCTCAAGTTAACTTCATAAGTGAGACATTATGCAAATCTCTTAATCTCAAGAAATGCACAAATTCAACAGATGTCTCTGGAGTGGGCTCTTCTAAGTTGAGAGTTACTCATAAAACACAAACGACAATAAGATCTCGTCTTAATAACTTCAATATGTCATTAGAGTTCCTGGTTTCTCGCAATATAACTGGTTATCATCCTGATGAGAATCTTTCCGCTAATAATTTCAATTTGCCCTCCAACATAGAGCTAGCCGATCCAGAATTTCATCGTCGACGAGGAATCGATATTTTACTCGGAGCAGAATCATTCTTTTCGCTCTTATCCGTTGGTCAAATTAAACTTGGAGAAAATTTGCCCACTTTACAAAAAACTCTCTTGGGATGGATTGTCTCTGGAAAGTATACAAGTCAAACGGCAATATCATCACAAAGATCTACTTACTCCATTGTACAACACAAAGATATTTTCCAAGAGATAAATAAAAATATTGAAATGCTATGGAAAATTGACGTCGTTGAAAGCAAATGCCAAAATATGTCCCGGGAACAAAAAGTATGTGAAGACCATTTTGTGAAAAATGTATCAGTTCAATCGGATGGACGCTTAATGGTGAGATTACCCTTTAAAGGTGACCCAAATATGCTTGGCGATTCACGAGACATTGCCTTGCGTCGTTTCTTTTCCATAGAGAGAAAATTGAACAAAAACCCTGAATTAAAAGAGGATTACTCACAATTTCTTAAAGAATATGAGGAATTGGGCCATATGTCTCAGGTGGACGACACTAATATTTCAGTTCCCAACTATTACATACCACATCACTGTGTTCTTCGCCCCAGCAGTGTGTCGACCAAGTTGCGTGTTGTTTTCGACGCATCATGTCGAACCTCTTCACAAACATCCCTGAATGAAATTATGATGGTGGGTCCAACAATCCAGAACAATTTATTAATTACTCTGCTTCGTTTCAGGTGTCATCGTTACGGAATGACAGCTGATATCGTCAAAATGTATCGTCAGGTTTTGGTTCACCCTGAGGATAGACAACTTCAGCTTATACTGTGGAGAGATGACTCCACCAAACCGATAAAAACATTTGCCCTCAACACCGTTACATACGGGACAGCTTCGGCACCATATCTCGCAATTCGAAGCCTACATTATGCCGCAGAACGTTTTCCCAACCCATACGAAGTAGGAAAAGGCATAATCATGAATGATTTTTATGTCGACGATATGGTTACTGGAGCGGATGACCTTGTATCTTTAAAACGCATTAAGAACGAAGTCACCGAAATTTTATCTTACTCGAAATTTTCACTCTCGAAATGGCATAGCAATTACCCAGGTTATGTCTCAAGTGAAGATGAAGTAAAAGAAATGAAGCTAAATGATGACGTCACAAGTACTTTGGGTATGACATGGCACTCAGATAATGACACATTCCATTTTGAGTTTCGCCCATCCAAATCATATGCACATAATACGAAAAGAAACATTCTTTCCCTGACGTCGACGCTATTTGACCCAATGGGTTTAATAAGCCCTCTCATCATCAGGTCAAAAATATTGCTCCAACATCTTTGGATCATAAAATGTGATTGGGATGAATCAGTTCCTCAAGAAATTGAATCAGCTTGGGAATCCATCATGGCTGATTACAATAATTTGTCCCTAGTAAAGATTCCTCGATACATTCGACTACCAAATTCAACTAACATAGAGGTCCATGGATTTGGAGATGCTTCAATAAAGGCATATGGTTGCTGTTTATATCTTCGCTGTGAAGATTCTTTGGGAAACATAGCAGTAAATTTAATCGCATCAAAGTCAAGAGTTGCGCCTTTGAAAACGAGAACATTGCCTCGATTAGAGTTGTGTGCTGCTCATTTACTCGCAACCTTCTGGAGCCAATTAAAGCAATATTTTAACTTCCCGATTTCTCAAATTTACTTCTGGTCGGATTCTCAGATTACTCTTCATTGGATTAATTCCCACTCTTCAACCTTGTCTACTTTTGTGGGTAACAGAGTAGCTGAGATTCAAGAAACTTGCCCTGATGTCCTATGGCAATATGTTCCTACTGAATACAATCCCGCTGATTTAGTATCCAGAGGTTGTTCTGTCTCCGATATATTGGTTTCGAATTGGTTCGTAGGCCCTTCCTTTCTTATTGGCCCATCTTTCAATTGGCCAAATTATTCTGGCCCAAGTCTAAGCGAAGCGGACATGCAGCTTGAAAGACGAAAAATTACATTGGTAACAAAAAAGGAGGACTTACCTTATATCCTAAAAGCAGTCCATAAATTCAGTAACTATTTAAAATGTCTCAGAATATTCTCATATATATTTCGAATTCGTTCAAGGAAATCGCTCCACTTGCCCTCTATATCTCCAGATGAGTTGACACATTCTCTCCATAGGATAGTCTGGTGCATTCAACAACATTATTTTTCGGAGGAATTCCTTGAAATATCAAAGCATGGATTTGTCTCTGGTCAGCTGTCATCATTGGCTCCATTTATAGAAGATGTCTCTGGAGTGCAATTAATAAGAGTTGGCGGCCGATTATTAAATGCCGAGCTTACACCAGAGATGAAGTTTCCTTTGCTCCTGCCCAAAATCGATCCCTTCGTAAAAATTATCGTGATATACATTCATCGCTCTAATTACCATGCTGGTCCAAGGGCCTTAGTATCTTTGGTTCAGCAGCAATTTTGGATTATCAATTGTCGGTCTTTGGCCCGTAATGTTGTTCATCAGTGCATACATTGCACAAGATACAAACCGAAATTACTCACTCAGGTAATGGGCAACTTACCCAAAGATAGAGTTACCCGTTTCCGCCCATTTGATGTTGTTGGAGTTGATTTTGCTGGTCCCATACCAACGTATCTCAGGATTCGAGGGAAAGCTCCATCAAAATCCTACATTGCTGTCTTCGTTTGTTTCGCATCAAAGGCAGTACACCTAGAAGCGGTATCCGACTTGTCCAGCGAGGCCTTCATAGCAGCATTAAAACGGTTTACTGGCCGCAGAGGTGTACCGTCAAGAATTTATTGCGATAACGCTACCAATTTTGTTGGAGCAGAGAGGAAATTGAGTGATTTTCATAAATTTTTCCACCTCGACAAAAATAAGGAAGCAGTTGCTCATTATTCATCTGCGAAGTTCATAGAATTTTCCTTCATTCCTCCCAGAGCTCCTCATTTTGGTGGACTATGGGAAGCTGCTGTGAAATCAGCTAAAGGCCACTTGCTCAGAACGCTCCCTAGTGCTCGTCTTACATTTGAAGAGCTATGCACAGCCCTTGTTGAAATAGAGGCAATTTTAAATTCCCGTCCTATCTGCCAGATATCCACAGATCCCAACGACTTAGAAGCGCTTACTCCAGGGCATTTACTCATTGGTTGCCCGTTGCAGTGTATTCCAGAGAAGATAAAATATGACTCTGACATTTCTCATCTACAACAGTGGCAACGAATCTCAGCCATAAAGTCTCATTTCTGGAGCAGGTGGCACACAGAATACTTGGCTCAGTTACAAAATCGTTATCGCTGGAAAAACCCACAACAAAATCTTCAAGTCAACGATATGGTGCTCATACACGAAGACAATGTTCCCCCCATGAAATGGGCCATCGGTCGTGTTACCAAACTTATTCCAGGAGCAGACGGTTTTGTTCGAGTGGCAGAAGTCAAGACATCACAAACTACATTAAAGCGTCCCGTGGCAAAGTTAGCCGTACTTCCTAAAGAATAAAGTTTGATTGAAACCAGGGTTTCAATGGGGCCCGGGATGTTAAATCACTCAAATGATTTTTTAATATTATTTAAATTTGATTTGTTGCTCAAAGAGCATTTTTGAAAACATAACATTATTTAAATTAATTATTTTCAGTACTTAATATTTTAACGCTACAAGAGCCACCTTAATGTCATTTTTTCTGTTTTCCCTTTTTTTATTATTTACTTTGAATTCGCCCTAAAGAGAATACATCATAACTAGCATTGTTATTGTAAATATGGATGAGCAGTCAGACGATCAAGTGATAGGCAGAGAACGCACATACGTACAAACATACATACATACGTTGAGTGCATCATCTCTGTTTATGTTATTGCTCTGCCTCTGCTGATCGCTCTGCTGCTATTCAATGCAAAAAATATTGTCCCGCTATTCCTTTGGTTGTTAAACCAGAATAGAAAAGAAGTAAAACATTCTTATTTGAAACAACTAAAGAGTGAAGAAGTGTTTTAATTTGGTGACGGGCTAGAGGCAAACAAAAAAGTAGATATTACCCAACACAGTGGTTGAGTAAAAATTGCAAATTAATTTTGGAGAAAATTAAGTGGAACAAAAGGAAGGCGAGAATTTTTGGCGTGTCTCAACAGAGAAACAACATATTTGGACAAATTGCTCTTCCAGGAGAAAGAACTACGCTTGCTCAGGGAATTCTACTTGCTGTTGGACAACCGTGGTCAGATTAAAGGTGGAGAGGTGTATTAAAACACTTTTGTCGTAAGTGGCCCTATAGACAACACAATTGCCCAGAGTAAGTCAATTTACATACTCAAGTCGAACCCTTGAGTTAGGAGTGTGTTTAATTACATATGAAACATATTCCGGGGTTGTCAAAATAGGCAATCCTCAAACAGAAGGAAAAATAACAAAACATTTTTAATTTTTGTAGTTTTTAAATTAAATCAATTAGTAATTAATAATAATATAACTAATATATTGACAAAGAGGATTTTTTATTGATTATAAATATCTACATTTATATTTTCAATTATTGTAATAACAAATGGTTCTTTATTGATTTGATATAAAATGCTTCCATATTATTAAATTCCAAATGCTTATCGCTAAAAAGAGAAATTTAAACACATTTTGGCCTTTATAGGTATGGCCAGGACTGAAATGTGAAATTAAGCTTTACCACAATTTTTTATAGTTATAGTATACTATTAATCTCACCTAATAAAGGATACCCGCTTCGCAGCTTTATTGATTATGGAGATAGAGCAGTCGTGATTTCAATAGACAGATAAGTGAAAATCATTAAATCAACTATGATCATGATTGTGTATACTTTATGGGGTCCACGACGAATATTTAGAGGTGTTACAAACCGAATGACAAATTTAATATATCCTCCTTTCCATGGAGGAGATTATAAAAAGATACCTAATTCGGGTCCTTTGAAAAAAAATACCTTGAAAAACTTTTTTCAATCTTTCTGCATCTACACTTTTGTTTTATGGAAGCTTTTTAGGAAAAAAAAATTATAAAAACATTAATATTAATAATCAATAAAAATTCCTCTTTAACTATATATTAGTTATAATTAGTTGATTTAATTTTAAAACAACTAAAAATAAAAATGTTTTGTTATTTTTCCTTCTAAAAATCTAAAAGTTTCATTTGATTTGCAAAAAGTTTCATTTCGGTTGCAAAATGTTTCATTTCCACTGCAAAAGGTTTCAATTCCACTGCAAAAGGTTTCATTCCCGCTGCAAAAAGTTTCATTTGAATTGCAAAAGGTTTCATTTAATCTGAAAATGCTATAAATAAAGAGAATGAATATTAGAAGGGTATTAAGAGGGGTAGACCGATGTGACTCTAGGCGTATGCTTTATTTTTGTAAACATTTGTTTTGAAAACACCCATACGCCACACTGAGCACAATCAAAAATAGTGAAAAATGGATTTGACTATTATCATCTATTAATAATGTTATAGTGCATTGCAAAAACAAATAAGTTGCAATAATATAATTCGAATCGGTATGTTTGTTGACATCTTGTCGCCTCTAAATTTCTTTCCAACTAATGACATAAAGTGCAAAATGACATCTAATATTATTGTATCCTCTCATATCCCCTTCAAATATAGTTCTTTAAGGCCTCATAATTCAATTTAACAAATCACATATTTATCAAATCGAAAAAAAAAACAAATCACAAACCTTCAAATCCATTTTCAGTCCTTGGAATAATCCGTCAAATTAAACTTTGTCAGCTACACGGCAGACATATAATTTAACATATCAAATTTAAATAACAACAATAATTAAACTTCAGCAACAGCAATATTTCTCAGACAAATGGGTTTCAATAAAACGCACAGATCCCCATCATCCCCCCACCACGACGACCCTTCGAATTTATTGAAACCACAACACACAAACAAACAAACGAGCTTCGTTAATATTTAATATCGTATTAAAACAATGCATGCAAAGTCACCTGAACCAGCATTTATTTAAATAATTTAAATAGGTTTTTGGTTACACTGACATTGCATGTTGTGAATTTGGTTATAGCAGTAGCAACAACAACAGCAACAACGACTACGACGAAAACAACAAAAAGGTTGAACTAAACTGGAATCAGTAATGCGACCTTCAAATGCGGTGGCAATGAACATTTGTATTTTGTTATATCGCAGCCATTAATATGTCTGCATAGAATGGTTGTGAAGAGATGGAGAGGATGGAGGTGATAGGAACGAACTCCTCCTGAATCGGCTTAGAATGTGGGTTAACCCGACACTGAGGTCAAAGATTGTGTGGCAAATAAACCACAGATGGTCAATGTGTTTACATTGTGTACCTTAAAGTTCCAACTGCGATATTATTATTTTATGCATTGATTTGTATGTGTGGCATTAAAGGAGTCAAGATAGCTTCACTTCCTTGTTAAAGAGAGAAAATAATCTCACATTGCTTAAACATTTAAATCTCCTTCGGAGAAAAACATAAACGTCTGCACTTACAATTGTAGGCTAAATTTCAAACGACTTGGCTCGACTTAAGTCCTACAATTTACTAAACTCGAATAAATAAAAGGTTCAAATCTGGCTACATTTTTATGCAGAATGTGTGACTAGTTGCAAAGCAGGGGCTGAATATTTATAAACACAACACAAACAACACCCACACACACCAACACATGTGTTGGGGGCGAACGAATAACATCAATTCTGAACACCATTGCTCGTGTTAGTTTCCAGCTTCGAACAAATGTTATAGAGACCTATAAAATTATTCAATAGATACAGGAGTTAAACAGGAAAGCCCCATATCATAGCCCCATTCAAGTCGACAAACAACAAAATGGCAAATAAATAAATTTATGCTAATCGGCTTTTTCTCAAAGCGAAACAAAATCCTATTTGTTCTCTTCGTAGCATATCGATACACGGAGCGCAGAGTGTATGGAAATGTCAACTGTGGGTACGTGGGTCAATTGAATAAACGATGCTAAGAAAACAAATTAGGAATTCGGCTTATGACAGATCCAAAGAGTGTGCGAGAGAGTCTGAGATACTGAAATAATTTTAAATTTTTACATGTCCCCTCGTTTTAAATATCTCTTGGTGCGGACTATTTTTTTTTTTTTTTTGTTGGTAATAAAATAAATAAAATGGTTGATTTTTGTTTACAAAATGATAGTACATAATTACTATATCCTGAAATATGAAAAATTTCGTATAAAATAATTTAAAAAAGGTCCTGTGGAAAGCTGAATATCCTGACTTTAATAACCCACCACCGTAGTATAAAGGGCACATTAAGTTTTTCATTCCGTTTGTAACAACACAATATATACTTTTTAGAGTCTACAAAGTACTATATTCTTTCAGTGTTAGCTATGTACTTCCATCTGTGAAAATCACTCTAGCTTCCGAACGAATTGAGCTAGGTTTTACAATTTTTTTTGATATTGAAAATGGGATATGTCGGCTTTCGTTTTGATATAACCCCCATATATCTATACCGCCAGATTTAAGGCCCACGATTTCAACCGAATTTGCTGCAAGTTACAAGTTCATGTTCCTAATATGTAGGAAATAACCTTGTATAGATCTGTCCATATAAGTACAAATTTTGGTATAGTTCCCACATAACTGTACCTCCAGACATTCGATGTTTTGATGTTTTGTGTCACACTTTTCACCGGAATTGTTTCAAATTAGGTATTTGTAGTTCCTGATGGGTACTACCTTCTATAACAAAAGTTTCCTGTAGCCCTAATATAAATGTACCTCCTGTTCGGTATTTTTACAATTTTTGAATTATTAAGAATTTCAAATTTTAAATTCGCAATAAGTACTATTTTCTATGCCAGAAAGTTACCAGTACAGATGAACTTCTTCGTATAGCTCCCACATAATCGTACCTCCATATATCCGGTATTTTTATGACCTAAGTGATTTTGTTCAACGAAATTATGTTGAAGATGGTATTTGTTGTTGACAATGGTTTCTGTATTCTCTGAAGGAAAATTTTCTACATGGGCCCACATTTTTGTATAGACCCCGTATAACTGCACCGTCCAATATTCGGTATTTTAATGATTTATGTCACATTTTTCGACGAAATTGGTATTTTGAGTTCGTATGACAGACATTTACCCCTGAAAATCCATATCTTCCTAAATGCCCATTTCACTGTATCAGATATTCAATATTTTAATAATTTAAGAGGCACCTTTTTTACATTTTGCAAGTTTCTTCCAACTGGTTGCAGGTATTGAAAGCTGCCTATTTGCTACTTTTATGGCATTTTTGTATATTTTATATGGAAAAATTAATTGTTTATTTGCTGCTCAAAATTCTTGAATTTCTGTATACCTCTCTGATACCTATAATCCTTTATGAAAGATGTACCGGAACTATGACTGGATTATCTTTGCCTCCATGTTTAGGTCCTCCTTTCAGATAATCCTCATAGATCTGGAACAAATCCTCATAGA